CCCCGGGGGGAGCGGATTGGGCGGGGCCTTTCCTGAGGCCCCATCCCCGCCGCCCAGCTCCCTCTGCCCATCCTCTGCTGCTTCTTTACCTCCCTGCCTGCCAAGCATCCTCTCTCTACCCTTTTTTTTTTTTTTTAAACTTTAAAAATTACCTTGAGCCCCTCTCTACTTTCCAGGTACATTTCTGGGTGAGTTCAGTATCCCAGGCTTGGCTGGGAACTTGACAGCTTCCCCCCCCGAAAACACCGTGTATTTCTGGCCCTGTACGTGCCCTCCCCGTTGCTGCGGCAAAGGAGAGTTTAAAAGCACTTTTGTTTTGTTTGTTTGTTTTTTGTCTCCTGCTGATTTCAGCCCGAGGGATTACGGAAACAACCCCCAGCTTCATGTATCCCTACGGGACCTCAAGCAGTCAGATGGTGCTCAGAGGGGTGGACCTCTTGCTGGAGTGCATTGCTTCAGGAGTGTACGTACCGCTTCCCGGCTGGTGGAGATGGGGAGAGGGCGGTCCCCAGCCGTCCCCGGTGGGACGGCCTGGGACCAAGATGCTGAATCACCAGTGGAAATACCTCTGGCTACGAAAAGGGATCGTTCCCTTCCTTTTAACTGCTATTAACAATACTCTCATAACTTACTTAAGGCATAAGAGCATGGAGCAAACAGGAGAACTGAGTTTTGCAGCACTGTTCAGAGAAGCAGGTGTCTTCAGATACTTGCTGTCCAAGGATAATTCCCCACTGGTTTGTCCTTAGAGCTATTTGCAAATCTCCTGGGTGCTCCTCACCACACTGTATAAACTGCGGGTGAGGACATCTGTGGTCCATGTGCCTGCAGAAGCGTCCTGGGCTCGGGGTCAGACTTTGGCAGCGCTCCCGGGGCGTGCACACGCTGCCAGACCAGCGCTCTGCATCCCCAAGCAGGAGGCGTGAGATGGACCCCGCTCCTGATCAGCTGGTGATGCTCGGGGTCCTGGTTTAGGGGCTGTGGTAGGAAGGAGGGCAGCCCAGCAGTTGGATCAGTCCTTATCCCTGGGTGTGAGTGGTTCCGAGGGCAGGACTATCAACTGTTTTCTTAGGAGTAATTTTCTTGTCTTGCAAAAGCATTTATCTCCTCCCCTCTCCGTAGACCAGCACCAGACATCGTATGGTACAAGAAAGGAGGAGAGCTCCCAGCAGGCAAAACCAAGCTGGAAAACTTTAACAAGGCCCTTCGTATCTCCAACGTCTCCGAGGAAGACTCCGGGGAGTATTTCTGCTTGGCATCGAACAAGATGGGCAGCATCCGCCACACGATCTCGGTGAGAGTGAAGGGTACGTCATCTTTACCTTGCCATCTTTTTTTACCGTCGTAACCAGGAGCTGAGGGGATGTGCACGGGAGGGGATGCTCTGATTTGTTGAAAGGGAGAGCGGGGCCTTTCTGCGGGGGCTGCCTCTGTGCTGTATCCAGCCACAGTTGCTTCTTGTCCAAACTGACCTCAAAGCGGTGTGAGACGTGATCTCAGCTGGTGTAACTGATGTAAATGGCTGCGGTTTTGTGCGAAACAGGAGGATTGTGGCCAAAGAGGGGGGAAGAGGACTCTCCACTCTCGCTGTACCCAAGAAAGCCCACTTGAGAGGGCAGTGTTTTCATGTCTCAGTTCAGCGGTGTGCGGGCAGGGAGGGGATTTTGGATGAGGTAGCACTGCTGCGTTTAAAACTGGTGCATTGGCGTATTTTAAAGCTGCTCCATACTGGTTGGACGAACCCCAAAATTTCATTCTGGCCCCTGGCGAGGATGGCAGGCTGGTGTGTCGAGCCAATGGGAACCCCAAGCCTGTGATACAGTGGCTGGGGGAGGGCGGGGCTCTTGGTGAACGGCGAGCCTATAGAAGGTGAGCAAGGAAGAATCTGTACCTCCTTTACAAAAAACCTAGCCAAGGATCTCGTGGCTGACCATGAGAGCCAGAGCTGCTGTCGGGGTGCCAGGCACCCCACTGAGCGGTGTGCGTGGGCTCCGGCATTGCAGCACATAAACCACCTGCTTGTCTGAGACAAGGCCAGTTGAACCGTGTCTTTGTAGGCTGGGGAGGTCACGTACCATCGTCCGGTTTTATCTGGGCTGAGATGGAAAGATGCATAGCGATACTGAGTGTCTTGTGCATTTTAATTGAAAATTTAATTTAAAAAGTGCTCTCTGTTTTTGAAGCTTCTCCCCCCAACCCGAGCCGAGAGGTGGCTGGAGACACCATCGTATTTCGAGATACCCAGATCGGCAGCAGTGCCGTGTACCAATGCAACGCGTCCAACGAGCACGGCTACCTTCTCGCCAATGCCTTTGTCAGCGTCCTGGGTAAGTACTTAGGGAAGATGAACACCCTATACTCAAATTTTCCCTGCAAGAGTTCTCCATTTGCTTTCCCCTTTGTTGTTAGCTACTCTGAGGCTAATGCACAAAGGTACACGACCTCTGCAACCGGGCTTTGGAGGAGAAGTCCATTGCCATGGACCTGCAAAGCCAGGCAAGGCTGAGCAAGTCCTGTTGGCGCTAAGATGTAAGCTGGTTCACGTAGCGAGGCTAGAAAGGGAAGGAGAGATGAGAGGGAATGGAGAAGCTCTGCTGAGTCTTGAAAGTGCCAACAAGGAAGACTGAACAAAAGAGAAGGGAGGGTGGAGGAAAAGACTGGAAAGGGAGCAGTAATCTGGAAACTGCTTTCTTTTCTTTCTCAATGGCTGTGATTTTTGCTGGTTGCAGATGTGCCGCCACGGATACTGGCCCCCCGCAATCAGCTCATCAAGGTGATTCAAAACAACAGGACCCGACTCGACTGCCCCTTCTTTGGCTCGCCGATCCCCACCCTGAGATGGTAAGAGCTGCAGCACGTCCCCTGCCAGTCCAGAGGGGTGGGAAGGGGAGGTTTCCTGCTCTTTCTTCCCTTACAATAGCACTTTGTCGTGTTGTGAGGTTTAAGAACGGCCAGGGGAACACACTGGACGGAGGAAACTACAAGGCACATGAGAATGGGAGCTTGGAGATGAACATGGCTCGGAAGGAGGACCAGGGCATCTACACTTGTGTCGCTACCAACATCCTGGGTAAAGCGGAGGCCCAGGTTCGCCTGGAGGTCAAAGGTAGGGGCACGAAGGGCTCCAGGTCAAAATGGTCTCTTGGATCTCCTGAAACTTGCAGCAGAAATAATAATTTAGGTTAAGGGAGGGTTGGTTGTGCGCTCCAGCAGCCTGTCAGCAGGACAGGCACCACGTAATTTGGAGCTGAAATCCAGAAAATGGTAGAGATTCCCTTTTAATGTTGGAAAAAAACAAGGCTGTGGATACACTGAAGCTGTAGAAGGGCTTGGTGTGGATATTGAGCTGTGAGATGCCATAAGCAATGCAAAAAGAAATACAAAGGGTTAACTGACAGCAATAAAACATTTTCTGAATCAAGTTTCCACTGGGGCTTTCCCTCTTCAGCAAAACTGATTGCTGACTCAGAAAACTGGGTATTTTTTACAGGGTCAGCATGAATTAACGGCTTGTTAAATTAATTTATTTGCAAGCATTTGTATCGGAGACAGTTCACTATAGCAAGCTGGACAAACACTTGACGTGCATGCTTGTCCTTTCCAAGTAACACCGCTCTTGATTGAATTCCTGAGCCAAGACCCAGCAGTTTGGTGCCTAATGCTTGCTTTCTGACTTTGCGCAGACCCAACCAGGATCGTGAGAGGACCAGAAGATCAGGTGGTGAAGAGGGGCTCCATGCCTCGCCTCCACTGCCGTATAAAGCACGACCCTACGCTGAAACTCACCGTCACCTGGCTGAAAGATGATGCACCCCTGTACATTGGAAACAGGTCTGTCTTTAACAGTGTTGTGGGTCTTCTCTCCCAGAACTGTCGGACTTTTTACGGAACGTTTCAGGAGTCACCAGGGATAATATGGATAAACGTCGAGTTCCCATCTAGGCCATATTTGCTGTTCTTGATGCTTTTAATGTTACTAGCTGCTTCCAACAGACACTGCCTGGCAATTAAAATTGACTTACCAGTAAATCAAGACTTTGACTATAGGTTTTATTTACAGATATTTTAGGACATCTTGATAAAACGGGTGGGTTAATAACAAGCTACTTCAAAATTAATGTTTATCTGCTGTGAGTGGTACAGTTGTAATTTCCTTTCCATGGCTGACTCCCTTCTCGTGAAGTGAGATCTGATCACAGGACACGAGCCGGTCAGAGGTCAGACTGTTTCCCTAAAAGTGTGATTATCCCAGATACATACCAGAGCACATTCACTGATTCCTTAGGAAATGAGGTTTCCAAGAATAACTCAACACATCCTTAGCTGATAAAATCTTCAGACCAGAGACGTACTCCTGTTCTGTTGGGCTTTTATATGTATTTTATCAGAGAACAGTTAGACCTCAATCCTGCTGCTTAATGTGCTTAGGCACAGTTGTGTGATTATCGTTCTCATCCCTTCAAGGATGAAGAAAGAAGATGATGGTCTGACAATATATGGCGTGGCTGAAAAGGACCAAGGGGATTACACCTGCATAGCTAGCACGGAGCTGGACAAGGACTCAGCTAAAGCGTACCTCACCGTACTAGGTAAAGCTGTCCTCCGAACGTACTGACACAGAGCTAAGTGCTTTATTTTTAATTCAACAGACTGACTTCAAGGTCAGACTGAAAGGGTGATCTGTGATCACAGAATTGTCCTCTGAAGCAGAGATGCTCAGGGAGATGCTGGCAGAGCAATTGTTCCGTTGCGGCAGGACTCGGCAAGGACGTGCTGCCTCATCTCAGACTCAGACAATGCCATTGAATTTGAGTCGAAGAAAACTTGCATTTGAGACCAAAAAAAAGAGTAGTTATTGCATACAGCTAAAAATATCCAAATGAGGATGTTGAAGCTCTGTGAGAACAGTCCTAAATTTGCAAGTGAATTTAACTGGATGTCAGGCTGCTGAGCAACACTGGAAACCCGGGGGTGAATGAGTCACCCCTAGCCTTGCAGGTCCCCTTTTCAATATAGGGAGAGACAAACCTAAGCCCATTCCCCACACCCGTTTATGTACACTGTGAGATCTACTTACAAAACACAGATTTGTCAATCCTTGCTCTTGGCCGCCTCAGATCTTGCTGATGTGCTGCATTCAGGGGAGTGCCCCAACGTGCCAGTGCCGCTGGCATAGACCCGCAATGCCCTACAGAAGTCAGAGTGCAATGTGAATCCCGTATCCCTAATAATTTGACTGGGCTTGATTTATTTCCCTTCCTTTTCCCCTAATAGCTAATTAACTCTACATCAGGCTGATGTTTCCTCTTTGCTGTGTACTAGAAATACAAAGAAAGGTGTGCAGAGCGTGCCTGGGGGGCTCTAGGGAAGGACGTACCGACTCTGGTCCCCAGGCAGGATCGGATCCTTCTGAAATCTGTAACTCTGTGTGTAACTTTGTATTTGCCAGGTGCTCCTTTGGCCACCCAAGCTTAATGACTAAACTAACACCGTTAACAACCAATGTCTTACCTTGCAGCCGTCCCTGCTAACCGTTTGAGAGACTTACCGAAAGGTAATCATCACTAATTCTTTGGGTTTATTTTATTTTGTTAATTGATTTTGTTAATTTTTGTTTGGCCCTGCCAATAACGCCAACAGAAAATCTAGGTGTAGCGGTTGAAAAAGCTGGGAGCTGATGCTTCCAAGTCCTGTCCATGTTGTCGTTGAAAACCCATCCAGATGGCCGTGGGTAGAAAGATCCTGTATCACATCATTTCGTATCTCACAGCGCCAGTTCTTGAGTGAAAGAATCACCTTACCCGTACCTGGAAATGGTGAGCCCCGATGGGAGGAAAAAAAATCACATCGAATCCCTTGACCTTTACCTGGAAAGAAGTTATTACTGTTACTGTTATTGCATGAACTGGTTGTGTGCGACCGTGTGGGTTGTGACAAGATAAAGGAACCAGAATTGTGCCCAGAGCATTTCTAATAAGTATGTATTTTCATTGAGGCTTTGTGTCTTTTCTGTCCTATTTGTTTGCATTTATTTTTTGGACAGCTGCGTGTAGTTTGTTGTCAGATCATATATCCCCCTGCTAAGCCACTATATCGTGCTTCCACCACCAGATAACATCAGTTTTACAGGGAGCAGGTAGGGTTTCAAGGCAGGGCACAACTAGTACGTGAGCACATTTGTATTTAAAAAATTGCACTAGTCCACCAAGAGCTGCAGGACGTGAATCGTGCCACCGAGCACGTGTCCTCCCATGGGTCTGGACTAAGACGGCCAGGGCTTCCCCTCCTGGGAGAAGTGATGGGAACTGGGACTCCCAGCTCCTGGGACAATCCCAGCCTAGTTTGTCCCGTTACTCGGCCAACAGAACGACCTGACCGGCCCCGTGACTTGGAGCTGACAGACCTGGCCGAGAGGAGCGTGCGGCTGACGTGGATTCCCGGAGATGACAATAACAGCCCCATCACAGGTCAGCTGCCGGACCCTCTGCCCCGTATCCCTCCTGCTTTCTTCTGCACGGTGGAGGGAAAACTTTCCTTGTGAGCTGAGCCCTTAACCCCACCTCTCCATCCTCTCCCCCAGACTACATTGTCCAGTTTGAGGAGGACCGGTTCCAACCTGGCATGTGGCATAACCACTCCAGGTACCCCGGGAGCGTCAACTCGGCCGTCCTGAGCCTCTCTCCTTACGTCAACTACCAGTTTCGGGTGATTGCGGTGAACGACGTGGGCAGCAGCCTGCCCAGCGTGCCCTCCGAACGATACCAGACCAACGGGGCACGTGAGTACTGTCCACCTGGTCCCTCTTGCCGTGGTGACTTGACGTTGTTCTTAGCATCTGGCCACCACTCTCCGCGTAGGCTCTTCCCTCGTGGTGTATGATCACAGCTCCTGTAACAGAAGCAGATTTACACAGGTGAGGGAATGAGCTGGTCCATGCATGTGCTGGTGGGGTGTGATTTTATATATCGCATCCTCAAGCCTATGACTGATATTCTGCAGAGCAGCAAAACTCAAATGGAAAGATTTATGCAAAGGTCACTCCAGCAGAATCTGTTGAAGGGAAGCCTGGTTTTACCTTACAGAGAAGCTTTATAAAGAAAGTCTTTCATCCTTTCTGACCACAGGAAGCTCAGAAGCCTCTTGGAAAATTAGACTCAAGTGTAAACTGGCCACAAGCAAAAGGCATTTTGTTCCAAAATTGCTAATTCATTGTCCATTGCTAGAGCTGGCCAGGAGCCCCGATCGATGCAGGAGTAAAGTGTGCTCCAGTCCACGACCAAGACTCCGGTCTTCAGTTTGTGTGCCCAGTGCTTTGTACGTTGTAGAATACTTGGGAAAATTCATATGAGGAATTCACAAGACACTCAGTAGTTTTGCTGCATTTCTTTATTTAACCATCGTAGAGATAATTCTGCAATATCTACTGGCATCTAGTGTTGGTTTTAGACATTACTCTTCTTGTTTCAGATTTCAAAAGTGTCAGACTCGGCTCCTGGGGTTGCTTCACAATGGCTGTCTTTCAAAGATTTAGGACGTTTTGGGAAAAAAAAAAAAAAGAGGCGCCTAAATAAATGGCCTGGTTTTCAAGAGTGCTGAGAGTCTCATGTTCCATTAACCCGAATGGGAACTTCTGGAAAAATCAGGCCATTAACTTCTGTCTTGAAAGTACTTTTGGCTTGCACGGTAAAGGTTTTTTAACCATTCAGATGGTCATTTTTCAACATTACAAACTGCATTTTTTTTTTCCCAATGTGAATTTCAGGTCCTGAAATTAACCCAACAGGAGTTCAAGGTGCAGGGACCCAAAAAAACAACATGGAGATAACCTGGACGGTGAGTTCTTCTTTGATGCTTGACAGCCACCCAGCGTCTTACCATTATGGTCACAGATGCTAAGATATTGAGAACGTGGCATCTCTAGCATGTGTGATGTACCACACAGAATACCATAACCTTAATGATCATAAAGGAAATAAAAAGCAGAAGATGCATCTACAAGAGAGGCCGTTGTTAGTGCCTAGAAGGAGGTCTGTGATAAAAACAGTAATTTGTAACTATGTAAGCCAAAGAAAAGATGCTGGATCACAGATAGAGGTTAGGGAGGATGCTCAGAGTGTCTGATTCCTTAAGCAGTATATAGGGCTTACAGACCAGCTCTTGCTTTTCTTTGTGGACCAGCAGGTGTCATCCACAAATAAGCCAGCATCTGTAAGGAGGATAGAAATTGCAGTGGGAGTATGGACTGGAAAATAAGGATATGGTTCTTGGTCCTGCCTTGGGTCTGGAGGGCAAGGACTAGGTATGTCTCTCCCTGGGAACAAAAGTATTGACCTCCTTTGAGATTTGCTGATGGAGCATGAAATAAGAACCAGCTGCTGAACAGAACTCCATGGCAGAGAAATACCGTTGCTCTTTCTCCTTCTCACTTTCTTTTTCTGTTTTGGTCCATTTAAGCCTCTGAATGCAACTCAAGCTTATGGGCCCAACCTCAGGTACATCGTGAGATGGAGGCGAAGGGACCCCCGAGGGAGCTGGTACAATGAGACAGTGAAGACACCGAGGCATGTCGTCTGGAACACGCCCATCTACGTGCCCTACGAGATCAAAGTGCAGGCAGAGAACGACTTTGGTAGAGCACCAGAGCCTGACACTGTCATCGGCTATTCAGGGGAAGATTGTGAGTATTTTCTCAGCCAGAGATCGTAAGTGTTTCAGAAGGGCAGGATCCCACCCAAGGTCAGTGGGTTGGCACCTGTGCCCGGGACATGTTCATAGCACCGCTTGATTTGGCACAAAAATCCAGTTCCAGGCATTGGAAGAAAGAGGCTTGGCCATTAGATTCTGTTCTGGGCTCTGCCTGCAGCTGCCTGCATGACCCAAGACACTTAGCCTCTCCCTTGCCCTCTGTAATACCCAGATAACACTTTGAGTGTGGAAGACAGTGAGATTTCATTTAAGATGAGCTCTGGCTGTATTCCAATAAACTGCATAAAATTTTTTGCCCCCGACATCTGTAGAGCACCGAGTTCACCTCGGATGAGAGGTGCTACGAATGGCCAGAAGGGCCTTGGTTCATCCTGGCCTGGATTCTTGTGCCTCTCTGATGAGGCCCCAGCTAAACCCCAGCTTGGGCTCCTGTTTGCAACACACCATTGGCTCAGCTTATCTTTCTTTAAAACTCTCCACCTGGTTACGCAGAACAGCGGCCAGCTTGTTTAACTCTCTTCTCACCTTCTTTCTGGGCTACTGGTATCACCTTCTGCGCCTGTAGCATCCAAGACTCTGAACTATGATTATCCTTATCCTGTTAGGAGAATGTGGTTTGCTGCCAACAGCTTTATTCTTAAAGAAATATATATTAGTTTCTTGCATTGCAGCATCAGTGTGGTCCCTGGCCGTGTGACTTTAGAATTATCAAGAAGTAAGGTAGATAAGCTGGCTAACCACCCGTGACTCTAGGCTTGAAGTCAAAGGGGGCACAAACAGGGCACAGCAATTTCAAGAAAATCTGCAATCTTGGTGCTGAGGTAGCACGAACGACACATCCTCCTACTGGGCACCTTCTCCCGGAGGAGCGAGGGCAATGGGAAGGAAAACGGGCAGAAACGGTGGGAGTCAGGGTAAGAGCTGAGCACTGGAAGCAAAGCCGGACCTAGCTGAGAGGCTGTTACTGGAAAAGCTCCGCAAGCACCCGACTGCACCGTCGCCTCTGCATTACCTGTCTGTGCACAACCAGGGTGGGTTTTTTTTTCCTAGTTTCAGTTGAAAACTTGTGCAATAATTTTGAGTTTTGGGAGGATCTGAATGAGCCTGCACGTGTGTGCTTTACATGGAGGTAAACCAGGGAGACCAAAGCTGCTGCATCGCAGCCTAGACACAAATGTGTTCCTGCCTGTATCCCGAGGGGTGGGACAAGTTAACAAAAAACCCCCCAAAACAAACAAAAACCCTAGTCCCTGCCCTGTCATGTCTGAATTGCTTCACAAATAACTGCAGGTTTCTACATACAAGCAGGTGGTTTGTAAAGAGGAGGTAAAAAAACCAGCTGGATCAACAGCAGGTTCTGGCCAAATTCAGATCAACAGATGTGGAAATAACAGGCAGTTTTGTAACTCCTGGGACTAACAGTGCCCAGCCAGTTGCAGCAGGAGGGGGCCGGATTTGCCGGCAGCAGAGTCACGCTGTGCCACCCTTCATTCGGCGAGGGAGGTGAGCCAGACCCCTTCCTTGCTGCTAACGTGATCCCTTGCAGCAGCGTGTAGGAAGCCCTGCGATTAACTGGATCACGAATGTTCTCGTGACGGCTGGCTGAGTGAAATATGGGGGTTATTTTTTCCCTCTTTCCTGTGGAAGCACTGCTAAAAAAACAATAGTCAGCTTTTAAAGCACGCACGTGTCAGGGAGAAAGTGAGGGGGATGGAGGTAAGTGATGCTATTCTGCGTATTTGCACGGTCGTAGGGTCCGCTCACCCCAAACGAGGGCAGCCGGGAAGCTGAGCGTTGGCCTGTTGCTCCTGTTTTATGTTACCAAGTTTGGAAATCCTCAGAAATTGAATTTAAGGAGGCAGAAAAGGAGACGATTGTCCCCATGAAAACGCTGCCGGCAGACAGGGCCGGCCGGGGTGCCAGCAGATGGCAGAGCCGGCGCGCAGGGCCGCTGCTCGCCCGGTTTGCAGCAGCCCGGCAATGCTGCGACGGGAAAACCACGGCAAGGGCGAGGGGGGCAGAGGGGCGTCCGTCTGTCTGTCTGACCTCCAGGGTACTGCTGGGTGCCTAACGTACACTCTGCTTTATCCCTGAACGCTCAGATCCCAAGGCTGCGCCTACAGATGTTAGGATAAGAGTTTTAAACAGCACTGCCATTGCTCTGACCTGGACCCGAGTGCACCTGGACACCATCCAGGGACAGCTCAAGGAGTACAGAGTGAGCAAAACCAAATCTCTTCGGCACTGACTATTAATACAGCTAACCTTCTCACAAGCCGAGGTGGCCCCGGTGATGGAGCTGCCTGTGATGGGGATGACAGAAAACTCTCCTCCGGCCATCAGGACCCTTTTGCCACGGCTGGGGTGCAGACCGCAGGGGCTGAGCTCTGCTCTGGAGCAGCACCAGAAATGAAGGGCCTTGGTTTGCTCTTTGTGGTGCCTGGATGGGGCTGGGGACATCTCCCGTTGCTCCCCCAGGGCTCGGTGCTGGGCTGGCCCTTCCCAGTGCCTGGCTGCAGGATCTGGGGTGCTCAGACAAAGCAAGTGGGGCTGCCTTTGTGCACCCAGAGAGGGACTCGGGGTGGTCCTGCCCATTCAGTGAGGTGTCTCCTGGCTCTAGAGCAGCCCAGAACCACGGGCTGGCTGGCTCTGGGGGGGAATGACCTCAGATAGGTACAAACAGGCTAGTTTTTGTGTCATCCCCAAAGTACCTACACCGTCTTTTAATGACCACCAACCCCTGCAAAGCCTAAACCCAGCAGTTTGTACTAACTGGCAACTAAAGACAGCATGGATCCTGTTTGTTTATTTACTGCTAAGGTAAAATACCGGTGTTTCTGTACAGAGGATAGACCCTGTTCAAAACAAGCAGAAGTCTGGACAGAGCCCCTTCTATCAGAGTTTAAGACATTACCAAAAGCACGTGTCCTGCAAACAGTTATAACATTTCAAATCCAATAATCCGTTAGGCATGAAGAAAGCTCCCTGGGTACTGCTTTCATTTTTTTCTGTCTCTGCTCTGTCATTCTGGTCTATTTTCTGAATGATTCTTATTTCTGCATGAAATAAGATTTACAATCGGGGCTTCAAATGGGAGACTTTCCAAGTTCAGACTTTCCTTTGTGCCTGGACACGTCCCACCTTTCCTTGTAGACAGCTACGGTACTAATCCAGGCAGGAAGGGAGAATCACTTGGCGCCTAGCGCTCGGGAGCCAGAAACAGCTCTTTGTAGTCTGGGCTTAGCTCATTTTGCTCTGTGACCTTTGGTAAGCACTTAACCCCATGCTCAGCCTCTTCCTCAGGTAACACCACTGACCTGCCTCGCTGGGGGGGTGTGGAGCTTCATTAATTGCTCTAAAAGGCTTCTGCAGCTGGGAGCTGCTCTTTGGAAAGGCAAAGTTTTGCTATGCTTTGTTAATGAAAAAAAAAAAAACAGTTGCACTTAAATGGGAAAAGCTTCACTTGCCATGCATGTTTCTTGAAGGCCTATTTCTGGAGAGACAGTAGTTTGCTGAAGAACCTGTGGGTCTCCAAAAAACGGCAGTATGTGAGTTTTCCTGGAGACCGAAACCGGGGCATAGTGTCCCGGCTGTTTCCTTACAGCAACTACAAGCTTGAGATGGTTGTAACCAACGGGAGAGGAGATGGGCCACGCAGTGAAGTTAAGGAGTTCCCCACACCAGAAGGAGGTACGTTCCCGGGGGTGTTGTGCAGACACCCGTCCCTCGGGCGCGTGCTGGGAGAGGTTTGGGTGGTTCAGCTCTGCAGAGCGGACCGGGAGCTGCACCGCTCTGCGGCAGAGCCACGATGCTGCCGGGGAGATGCGCCAGGGACAATTTTTAGCTGAGCCTGGGCAGCATCTTCTGGGCAGCATCACTGTCACACGGCACTGCTGTATGCCTTCATCACCGCGGGGTAGGTGACATCTCTGCAGCTACTCCTAGAGCTAACTACTGGCACTGTCTCATCAATCTAAAAATCCCCTTCAGGTACTTTGAACACATCAGCAAGTAGCTCTTAGGCTGAACAAGAGAAATGTTTGCAAAGCCTCTTCAGAGGCACAGCACCGTGCCCTTGATTTGCTGCCTGACCTGCGAATGTCACCTCACCTCCCTGTGCTCCGGGTCGGTGAAACGGGAGTGAACGTATTCATCTTGCTCAGTAAAAGGCAGTAAAATCTGTAAGACCTAAGCACTTTTGTTCTGAAAGGATGTCACTAATACCCCTGTCAGACTTTTAAGGCAAGAGCGCCTCATTCTTCCGTTTAAAGAGCTTGTGTCAAGGATGAACTTGAGATTTTAATTTTCTTGCTGTCACAGGAGCTATTTATAGACACGCCAGTAACTTTTTGTTGGAGCTGCACTTTCAGTGCCTGGCAATGAATCTTCCTGTAGCACAGATGTTTTTGGCACGGTGTGTTACAAAAATGCAAGAGGAGAAAACAGTAGAGGCTGGAAGCAAATCCTGTCTCAACTAACACAAAATACCGTGAGATTCATGAAAGAATCCTCTTTCTCTTCCTCTTCATCCTGTGCCTGCTGTACAAGAACAGCATCTCTCAGTCCTGTCTCTTTCTTCCTTAACATTTTCTTGGATGCTGTCACCATCTTCTAAGGATTTTCAATCGACCAGCCATAATTAAGCTTGTTTAAAGAGAGAGAACTCTGGTCCAGTCGGGCGGTTTTGCAGTCAGGTGCATTTTGATTGAGCTGCTTACCTTTGTGCTAGAGGCACGGAGCATTTGGGATAGCTATACGCATACCTGGGTGGCATTGATTGAAACAATTATAGCAGATTATACTCTTGTCATAAGTAAACTGCTGATTTGTTTTTTCCTATACCACTAAGCGATTTTATTGACTATATGTTGATGTTTAGGGGATTAAATGATATTCTGCAAAATGTCTGTTTAAAAAAATAAGTCGCTAACCTCTCAGATCAGAGCGCCAAGTTCTTACCCCAGTCAAGACACCGCAATTATGAGTAAACCAGGAGGATAATTTAATTCAAGAATGTATAATGCTTTCCTTCCTTTACTAGCTTTGAATAAGCAGTCATAAACGCAGCCATTCCTCAGGGTAAGGACCACTGTATACATGCACCAGCTCCCTGTTACAGATCTCTAGACACATTAATAACACAAGGATGCTTTGCAATAAGAGAAGCTGCTATACTATTTTCACCAGTCCGACAGATAAATAGATGAGATGTAAGTGTTGGGCTGGATGGGGGCTGTAAACAAGACCAGTAAAGTATGTGTACAACATACAGGAGTGGGGCCTGAACTGTGTCGCAGCTCCACTGCACGGCTGTAGCATCTTTTGCGGGTGCCTCACCGAGCTGTGCGCTGGAGGGCAGCGGTACCCAGCGAGCGCAGCGCAGCGCAGCAGAGGCACGGTGCTGCTGGGGCTGGGGTTGCATGCAGAGCTGCTCTGGTTTCTGCTCCCTGCATACACGCTGCTGAAATCCCTGGGCTGGTGCATGGTTTCTGGCACAGATTCTTGTTCAGTCGGTTTCTGACCTTCAAAGAGTGTGTGTGTATTTATGAGTGTCTTGAGCGTATCAGTCAGCCTGCGATGTATACAGTATTGTAAGGTATGTTATCTCGTATGTTTTTTCTTCTTTCCCTCTCCTTCCTGGTCCCGTCCTCCTCCCAAGTGCCCAGCTCCCCCAGGTATTTAAGAATCCGACAGCCAAATCTGGAAAGCATCAATCTGGAGTGGGATCAGCCAGAGCATCCCAACGGAGTCCTCACAGGATACAACCTTAGATATCAAGCCTGTACGTTCCACATGTTATCTTCTTAGTGATAATAATTGTCATTACATATTTTCCTTGCTGCTAAATTACCTCCTCACCTAGCACAGAAAGCTCTCTGTAAGGAACTGGAGACTTTCCTCACAAGATGGGATGCACCGGTGTTGGAGAGGAGCCCTGGAGCAGTGCTGGGCAGCTGCGGTTAACCAGGGAGGGTGGCGGGTGCTCAGCAGTTCTCCAGACTTGACCACTGAAGGGAAATAACTTTGATCTCTGATTTAGAAAGACCTTTAAGTGCAGTCTGAGTAGTTTATGTGCTCACTCAAACACAAGCTCCTGGCTATGTAAGAAATGCTGTCCGGAGTGCAGCACGCTCTGCAGAGCCCAGCACGATGCCTGGGGCAGTACAGCCTTCTCTGCTTGAGACCTTGGCACTTGTGCTATGCCCTTCCTTGACCACCTACACAACCCTGAGTGTCCCCGCTAGCATGTCCCCCAGCCAGTAAGTCACCAGCTGCCCTAGACGAAGTGTATTTAACAGCAGCTATAGCTCTGAGCACGTGTGGCCCCACACCGACTGCCAGTCGGTCCTGGGGGAGAGGTGACGAGGTAAACAGCACAGTGTATTTCTGAAACAAGGCTGAAGCCACCACGACCTGCCTTTCCTCCCCAGTTAACGGATCCAAAACGGGCCGAACCCTGGTAGAGAACTTCTCTCCCAATCAGACAAGGTTCACCCTGCAGAGGACAGACCCCATCTCGCGCTATCGCTTCTTCCTGCGCGCACGGACCCAGGTGGGAGAAGGAGAAACCATAGTGGAGGAGTCGCCAGCCTTGCTGAACGAAGGTATGTGCAGCAGCAACAGCTTCTGGCTTTGCTGAGGGGTTAGGGAGGAGACGGTACATGTATCACCCAAAAACTGCAGGTCAGAGAATCGGGTGGTCCACAGAGCAACCGGTCCAAGATAGTGTACTTGGTGCACAGCTACTATCTACTGCAGAGTTAGATAGGTGACTGACCAGGACTGAATACTGCAGCAGAAACGCTACGGCGGTGACTGGGGGGACTGTCCTGTGCTCTCGGGAACCATCTTGCAAAAGGTGAAGCTGTAATCTGCCCCTCTGCAGTCTCTGTACAAGCTAAATAAGGGGCAGATGTGGGTGACTTTTATGTGGCTCGAAGGGGGTGCAGCAGCTGCATCCTCCAGGGCAGTGAACCCCAGGCAGGGGCTACGGTGCCACGTCCCTGTCACCCCATAACCAGCAGCTGACCTGACCCTCCAAAGCAAAGCCCTAACTCCCGGATTCATAATAAGATAAAATGCCCATTGTGGGTCATTCATCAAAATAAGTGAAAGTTCAGGAGCCCTGAGGGAACTCGGGGAGACAAAAGCTGGCTCTTTCCTTTCTTTAGCATTTGCTAAAAGACCTATGATTTGGTTAGCGCTCTGATTTAATGGGGTTTTTGTCCCCTTTCCTCCATTTCCCCCTCCTCAACTAATGGCTCTGAGTAGGAAAAGTAATTCCTACTGATGACCCAGTGGAAACGAAATGCTTCCTGACACCTCTTAGATGGGCTCCAGCATCGCTAATTGATGTGACAGGATGGGAGATGGGGCTGCATATGCTATGGGGAAAAAAAATCAGCTAAGTTACACCCTGGCAAACACGAGAGGGGGCATGTCATTGCTTTGAAAAGGAGCTTCGCTGAACAAACTGTTAGAGCACGGGGAGCGGACTGAAGTTGTCGGTGCTGACAGACAATAGTTCTAGTTGTTTCATACACATTTGCTTTACTGGGTTTGTTTCTATATGCTGATAACGGCGACTGTTAGGAGAGCACAGCTAAAGAATAGCCATAACCAACCGCTGCTGTATATTGCTGAACTGATTTGTATCAGGAAATAGCAGGTACAGCGTACGCCAGCGTGACAAGGTAAGGTTCCCTGTCCACGGGGTCAGGGATGCGGATGGGCAGTGGCACCCAGTGCTCCCCGGCTGCCCCTGCCGAAGGGACGAGCTGCTGCCACTTAGCAAAAGGACAAAGCGTTGGCCGTTAAGCAGCAAGAAAAATTAAAGAGTCAAATCCCAGTCTGAAGTTAGAGAAATATGGCAAAGTTTGAGACCCTGAGGTACACCATGACAGAGGCAAGTTCTGCTAATGACAGGCATGTAAGTACGATTAGCAGCATTAAATGCCCACTTTGATATGAAGGTATCTGCTGTAAAGCTATGCGAAAGCCGAGTTTGGAATTAAAAAAAAAAAAAGCCGATTAAGAAAATTAAACCCATTAACGCATTCAGAGGTTGTTTTCTGCTTGCCAGACTCATTCACCTGAGAAGTTTAAATAAAATACATCTCTCTGATGTTCTGCACCACGGGCTCCAACCCGCACAAGGCAGGACGAGCACTGATGTTAGAATTACACTAGAAAAGAAACCAAGGTGAAATTCAGAGTGTCAAAACCGGTCCTTGCTGGGATTAGATATAAGCACCTGCTTAAACACTTAATCGACACCACTGGCATCTCTGCTGCGGAGCTGGTGTGTGTTTAACTGGTAATCTCCATCTCCAAGGGGATGTCCCTGCTCTCTCTGCCCTGTGCAAGTGGCTCTGATGCACAGGAGGGTGACAGGTTGTAGCTAATGCATTTATTCCCTCTCTCTCAAGTCTCTGGTGACTCTGTGCAAGTGGTCCCGAGTCTCTTGTTGGTGTGTTCTGGTTGTTTTATATATTCCTCTGTTTTCTCTTCCCTTCTCTTCTATGCTCTCTTCGTATTCCCCTCTCTATCCTTGGCGCTGCCCTCTGAAGCCACGCCAACCCCAGGTACCGTACCAGCCGGAGGAGGTAACAGGCATGGGGCAAGGCTCACTCCACCACCGCTCGGGTGTGCTGGCAATTAAGCATGCACTCCATTAACCCTTTCAATGGGAAGGTGAAGTGTCAGGAGTCTAAATTGGACGTATGAAACGACAGCAGGTAAAACGAAGCCCCACAGGCAGCAGGGACTAGGGCAGGCTCCATGGGGGGGGTCTGCAAAGATTAAAATATCTCTGAGCGGGGCTTAACAGCCCCCCAGATGCCTAATGATAGCCAAACCCACCAAACACTGCAGCTGCCACAGACTGTACAAGCAAAAATGAGAATCATATTGCCCTATTAAAGAGGTTTTTTAATCCCAGGTCTGCACAAAGCCCTCTCCCTTTTTAAGCCTCAACATCCCTGCCCTGCGAAATACAGAGGAACATTTACCAGCCCTCCCCGACTCGTTGGTGCCTGCCCATGCTGTGCTCTGCCCTGCAGTATTTAAGCTGCATGTTTACACCCGGGAGCCTGCAATATTGCTGCTGGAGCAGCTGCCTCCCTTGGCCACGCAGGTCTGTGCGTGGGGGGACCACACGCCACACACCTCCCCAGGGTTCTTTTAGGGCTGCCGGGGCTTTCGTACAGGAGAATCCTTTTGTTTCCAGGTGCCCATTGAAAGGGTTAAGGACAATGTTTGTGCCACAGCTGTGCATGTCTGCATGCGAGGCTATTGCTGGCTTTGCCCTCGATTGCGAATTTCTGCAGCAGCATTGAAGCAGAGAGAAACCTTTTCTTGTAACGGGGCGGGGGGGCAGCATCTCTATCTGCTTTCAAGGAAACCCAAATCCTCGGTTACCCAGTGTCAACCCTGCAAAGTCCAAAGCATAAGCACAACTTCTGGTTGCCCAAAGAAGGACACCCACCTCTTACGAAAGCTGCAGACATGACCTTCCCCCCCCCTCTCTGCCCCTTCGAGCCAATATTTCAGCAGCGGGGACAGCCCCGTGACCAAGCTCAGAAGGGGGCGAGCAGCAGTGCTAGGGAGTGCAGCCAGCCAAAATGCACCCCGAATGCTGGCAGAAAAGCTTTTGGTCTGGAGCACCAGCACTCATTTGCCCCGCACCAAGGGCTCTGTAAGAGGTCATGCTTTGCCTTTGCTGGACACAGCCCCGGGGCTGCCGGGCCTTCCCAAGGACGAACAGCTTCTTAGGGAAGACTCTTCCCAAGTGATACAAGCGCAGGGCCCGCTCTCCGCACCTGTAGGTTTTGCTTTCCTACCTCATAGATGTTTCTCCTCCTTTTATTTTGTTGCAGTGATGTCTCTCTACCCAATATTATTTTGTGGTTTTTTTTTCCTTTCTGAATAGATGCCAATCTTTTTCTTATCGTATTTTCTCTTCCTAAAAAAAAAAAAAAAAAAAAGAAAAAGGGGGTAACAGATTGGTCTGCTTCGGGTGGTGGCAAACTGAAAACGGACATAACCTTTTGGCTTAGAGGATCTCTATCCTCTGAGCCCGGGAGGGCTGTTTTGCTGCGATAGCTCGTACTTTGGCCAGGGTTTAGCTTATCCACAAGAATCTGGATTTTCTTTGTGGATCAGGATCACCCCCTTAAAGTACTTTTCTACTTGTAGTGGCTATTGCTGAACTTTGAAAAGACAACGTGATCTCTTTATCCTGCCAGCATCATATCGTTTCGGGCATAATTTCTTATACCACTGGAAGCTAGATGAATGAATTGCCGTTTAAAGGATAATTCTACAACAGAGCCCACTGGTGTCCCGTCCCCCCCCCTCTATTTTTTACCTTCTGCTAGGAGAAATAGTAAAGCAAAAAGATAGGCCAGAGCTGAAAGACGTCTAAGAAAGAGTTAGTAACTGGAATAGTAGGTCGTTAAGTGCTAACTCAGCCGCGTCCACAGCTTCCTCTCCGCGCTACACTTCAGCGAGAGAAATCAAGGCCGTGTAAGCCGTGGCAAGATCCAGCACACATCTTTGTCTTGCTCGTGAGCTGGATGTCATTTCTCGTTAGGACACGGGGCGGGTGCGGGAGCCGTTACACAATTCGAGCGGTGTTTGTCCCGAGAGGCTGTTTCTCTTCCTAACAAGTACGGGGTTCGAGTGAAATACTGATTGACCTTTCTCGGAAGATTTACCTCCGCTCAGTGACCTAGATTTTGTAGATCTTTACGGATGCACAGCAAAAGTTGTCTTAAATTGCAGTAAAATGCCCTTTGCCATGGGCTGCTGGCACTAAAAAAAATAAAAAGGTCTTTTTTTTCCAGGGGTAACCTTACGTATAGAGGGTCATAGCTGTTTTGTATGTGTATGAGGAACTGGACCAGCTTGATAAAATCAAAAAGTGAAGTGCAGGGACTTTCCCTTAGGAAAGGCTTTACCCTTCCTAAGCCAGACCTGGACAGAGGGAGAGGTGACATGGGAAAAGAGCAGACATCTAAAAAGGGCTCTCATTTATGCTATGAACGACAAAAAATCAAAACTGGATCCTATACTACCCGTGTGTACGGAGAAACTTCATCAGGGACCATAAAGAGTATTGGTCTTAGACTTTAAGGAAAAAAAAAATTTGACGTTTCTCTGTTCCCTTCTTGTCTCTCCATAATTAGGAATCAGAGGAGAAAGATCCTATTGTTCATTTTAGAAATGGACAGCAGTAGAAACAGAGAGAACTGCTGACCCCTCTCTTTTAGAGGCTGCTCAATCGCTCCTTTCTATTCTTGAATTTCTTATAGCTATCATCAGATTTGGAACACTTTACGGTAAAGACTTCACGATTTCCTTCTGTTGTTAATAACTGGGAGAGGGAGAGAAGAAAAAAAATATCTCTGAAAATGTATTTGGCTAATCATCAAAATTCATGAAAAATTAATCAAATTTCTCCAAGCCTAATTATTTTGTAGACACACCCAAGGGAAAGCTGTTACTACAGCCTAACAAGACATTAAAAGCACCTTTAAATAATTAAAGAGCAGTATGGATGTGTATTGTTTCCTGTATTTTGCAAAAAAACATGCAACTACTCCCTGAACTGCTACACTACTCGGAGCGGGACTCGAGTCCCCCTCTTAAGAGACTCCCTCTTTAAATATCCCCCTTTTGCTTTTATGATTTTTCCTCTCAGTTGTTTTTTTTTTTTTTCCTAATCTGAGCCTCACACAGTTTTTGAGCAAGGTTTGGGCTCCTTTTTCCTGGCCCATTCACGGTCACAGGAGCCGAACTGCAGCAAAGAGCACGGCCGTCCTGCTGCAAGCATCTCTCTCATTACTTAGCCTATTAATTGCTACAGCCAGACTGCTGCGTCCCCTGTCCATTATAACAGCGATCTCCTCCCCACCATGCCCCTCGGTCTCCATTACCTGAAAGGGTAATGCATCTTGCAGACAGAAAAAGCAATCTCTGCCTTGCAAAGATGGGGCCTATTAATGAGCGGCACGGTCGTTTAGATGTTTCCAGGAAGATGGGCTAGGCTAAGGTGGGAGCAAGAGAATGGGAATTGCTGTCGCTGGCTTTTCCTCTGGGTTTCCTGGGTGTACTGGGGCAATTTCAAGCCTGCTTGAGACACTGGTTTTCAGGGCGCTGCTCTGCCCTGCAATTGGGAAAGCGGCAGCCCCTTCTCTGCACCGTCTCCTGCTTTCAGAGAGGGGGGGGGGAATTTTTTCCCCATCACACAAATGCCAGATGCTCGGTCCGGTACCTAAACTTCAGGCAACTGTTGTCAAAGCCCTTGAGTGAAACCTCACGTTGGGAACGCAGAAAAATAAATTCAGCTACTCTGCAAAGCTCAGAAACGTTATACCTGATGAAGTATTGCAACCACATTTTTAGAAGGATATGTGTGATTTCTAGATTTTCAAAACAAGCAGTTCTGGAAATGCCAGCCTGGGCCTCCATCTCCCCCGGTCCGCCCTTCTGCTGCCAGGAGCAGTGATCTCACTCTTTAATTAGCCCCGACATGGTGGGCAGCGAGCGGGGGACCCCAGGTATCCCGGGGAAGGGCCACGGCCCAACGCAGGATGCTCCCTGCCGCTCCCCCGTGGCGGGGTACCCTTTTCTTCAGGGGACGCCGGAGTGCTCTGATCTCTGTCAAAGACCGCCTTTATCTCCCCCCAGACTGAAATCAGCTCTCATTAGGGGATGGATTTCAAAGCCTAGAAAATGCCCCTTATCTTCTCTCCCCCAAATCTCCCAGCTGAGCTTTTCTCCCGCATACATTTCTTATTCAAACACAAATAAGGCGGTAGCTTTGAATCCCGGGGCAGCTTACGACTCAATCCCCCCACGCCTGCGGGAGCCCTGGCCGGCCGCAGTGCCGCCTTCCCACCGCCCGGTCCCATCCTGCAGCACGGTGCTGCCCATAGACGCTCTCCCCATCCTCCCCTCTCCGAACTATTGCTTTCCGGACTCACCCGATCCCACTTTTTACCTGTTCCTAGTCCTGCCAGGATCATTTTTATCCCCAGTGCCAGCACCCCCCTCCTCGACCTCACGCAGGGACCCGCTCGGGAGCGAGCCCGCATTATCCTGATGCAATGTGATAGCCCTGCTCTCGGGGATCGCTTCCACCAGAGTGCTGGAGAGGTGTGGGCAAATCCTGCCTGCCATCATCATCAGCCGGAGCTGAGCAGCACAGCTCAGACCAACGCTGAATTGCTCCTGTCAATGCAGCATCCAGGAGGGTCTTGGCACTGCAGCCTCACCTGCATGCATGTGTATCTGCATGTATTACATAAAGATTATACCCTACACAAGAGAGAGCAAAGCTTTGACTTATCCCAGCTAATCTCTTCCCATCCAGGGTCTAGAGGAGCATTAAAGCTGAATCTTGCCTGCTAAAGCTGTTACACCAGTGCTAGGTGATGCAGGCAGTCCTCGAAGGTGCTGTGCGGGAGAGACATGATGCAGAGACGTGTAACAGGCCTGGGAGCTGGGGGTTGTGCTAGGTTTCCCACCAGCTCCAGCCTTTCAGCAAGTTACTTTGTGCCTTGTTGGGTCCTATTTTTCTTAGAGGGGAGCCAGGGATTCACAGGGGAAACCCTGAGGCTGCGTTAGCTAATAACTAGCGTCTACGGTGCTGTTTGATCGTGTACATTGCAAACCTATTCAGGAGCTGCAGCTTAATCGGGTTAATGGTGATATTAACCTAGTGACACTAATCTCTTAACCTTCCAAAAAACCGCTATAAATCAGCAAAGATGGCTGTTAATACTTCTCAACCCAAGAAAGGCTTTCGTAACTTATAGCCTCAGGACAGAGCAAAGCCCTCGATCAGTAACCGAGTGAAAGAAATGCAGAACAGCAAACCCCCCAACACCCCTATTGCCGCGGCTGGGTCAGGTTGGAGAGGGCTTTGCTACACTACAAACACCCGAGGACAAAGCCGTGCCATTTCCCACCCAGGCTGGGTCCCCCCTCCCTGTCACCACCATCTCCGCTCCCCCCCCCCAGCCCCTCGCCCGGCCGTGGGGCAGCGACGGGCTGTGCCAGGAGGGTGCTTTATTTTGGTGGCTGCACTGCTGCATGAGGCTGGCTGCGATGCTGCGTTGGTACCACCGCGGAGAGGAAGCGCTGCTCTCTGGGCACATGTTGGGGTGGGCTGGTGTTTTCGGGACGCGCCGGTAACTGTGGTTTTATTGCAGCTGCGGTCGGTAGGGAGATGGACTGAGTGACCTACTGCTCTTCTCTGCTTTTGGATCTCTGTAAGGGCTGAGGTTTTAGGGGTTGGCCCTCCTTGGGGATGGACTTGGTGAAAAAGCAAGCCCTGGCTTGGTTCTGGGACACCTTTTAAAGTATTTTCCTAGAGCTATTCTTGTTTGTGGGTGATATTTAAAATAGCCGGTTTCATTTGCCTAACAGAGGGATTTGTAATCCCTTGATCTACAGTAAGAGTAAGTAAATATAATCTAATGCAAGCGCCACAGGGTAAATCTCTGCTCATTTACCCTAGGTAGTTTAAGCAGCATTTCAGCTGCATTTTCTGCTGGCAGGTTTTCAGGCCCAAGCCAATGCACTCTCCTTTGTGGTGTTCAGGACCCTCTCAACCACACTGCGGGGCGTGTGCGTAAAGTGCACATTTACCCCTTTGCTCTGGAAATACAGCACAGGTGAGATGTGGACGGGGGCCGGGGGGAGCTATGTAGAAAACAAATTGCTCAGACTGTCCCCCTGGACAGCTTGGGGTGTGCCAACCCCTTTGTCCTAATTTAAATGTAAATTGTGAGGGGCAACGATGGCAAAGTACCATCAATCACTCACCAAGGAGCTAAAATCCACATTAATGCTAAAGCCGCTCCATCACCAGACTGCAGTATCAGTACAGAGACGAGCCAGGAAGGAAAACAGCTGAGAAGCCGCAGGCTGAATTGGCAGCTCAAAAATGCTGGAGGTGTAGTCCAGGGGCTGCTGAATTAATGTAATTGTGGCTTGCCTGGCCCACGACAAATGGGATTATTATGTTTTCTTAAGAGATAAATCCTGTTTCTTATTTCAGGGAGCCCTGAGTGCTCTCAGCGCAGTTCTGTGCGGGGGATAATGGGGCAAGGACAGCCTGCCCTGTGCACCCCCCAAACACCCCTCACTTTCGTCCTTCCATGCCCTCCATGCAATTTAAGCCCAGGGTGATGGGGGGCACCGGCGGCAGAGCAAAGGCAAAAGAGAAGCAGGTCGTTCGGCCCTGGAAAAGGGATCAAACCGTGGGCCGCAGGCGGTGGGTGCGCAGGAGCAGCGTGCCAGGGGCAGCCCCCCGCTTGCTGCCCCTCTTCGCCCCCAGCTTCGCTCCCTGCCCCTCGGCCGGGCGCGTGGCCGTCCCCGCACGGGGACGGGAAAAGCGGTTCGGCCTCGTGTTTCCCGGTGCTGTTTGCCTCCTCCTTCCCCAGTCCCCCCCCCACCTCTGTGCTGTGCTGCTCTGCTTTCTCTCGTGTGCCTGCACGTCCAGCCGTCGGGGATGGCGAGTGCAAGCCCTGAGGAGATACCACCTCGTCTAAAAAGCCAGTGTTTCCCTCTCCCAGCTGCAACTGAGTTGCCTCCAACTACAATCGGTCTAACCAGTACTACAACAACCCCAACTACCACCACCACCGACACAACTACCACCACCACCACAGCCGCCACCACTCTACCCGCCACCACCGTCGCAAGCACTACAACAGCTACAGAGAGGGCTCCGGCAGCCACCACAAAGCAGGAGTTGGGTACTGCGCTTTCCTTTTCCTCTAACCCCTCCCTCTAACCCTACTGGGACCTTCCCCGCATCTTGCTCAGAGCAAGGATTAATAACAGGCACAGGCAAAATTTAAGACGTCCCGTGCTTTGGGAACGGCTTTGTGAGGAGCCGGAGCCTGGCACAGGCTCAGGAATTGAGGTGCACAAGCGGCTCCCGGCAATTTGGGGGTCTGGTGGTCTCTGTGCCACCCTCCTGGTCTCAGTCTCAGGGATAACACAGCCCTCCCCGGGGCGTCACGATGCTGAGCTAGCTTCAGTGTTTGGGAAGGAGGTGGAAGACCCTACAAAAGCTCTCAAAAGTATTATCTCGTATCTTACTGCCATTAAAAAGGGGTTCTGTTACTATTATAGAAGATGTCGCTTCAAATTTAGCACATCAACTGTTAGCTAAGAGACCTGTCATCATTTATACGAGTCTTTTGGTTTATGCTACTGCTCTTTGCGATGTAACCTAGCCGTAGCCCACAGGAGAGCTGGGGAAGTATTTAAGTTACAACACGCAGGTGTGTGCCAGGTATTTATTAGGCCAAGACAAACTTCTCATGCAATCAGCTAGAACAGGGTGATCAAACCCTGTTTTGGTGGAGGAATATTCTCTACTATGTGTCTTTTACTGATAGATACAGAGATGCATCTTGCTGAGCCTTGTTTTTAAAACACTGCTATAATGGTATCTACAGTTAATAAATAATTATGCATAGTTATATTCAGGTTATTAAAAAATAAATCAAACTAGTAGCAAAAGGGAACGCAATCAAAAGAGTTCAGTTATCTAGCTGATAGCATACACTCAAAAACGCAAGTGCAAAAGCTACAGAAATCCTTGTTAACTCTTCATAAAGAGGGAGAGGAGAGAATAGTGATGAATATCAAAGTTGACACCCATTTAACTCAAGGAATTTGATTAAAGCAGTTCAGACCCCTTTTCTTTATATCCTTGCATAAGATTAGCTCAGGATGGCTAAAAAACCCACCAAAACCATATGCTGGGAGGACCAGGCTCCACCTGATGCTCTCAGTAAAACAGACCCGCGAATCAGCAGCACGTTTCCTGCTCTGCACTAATTTGCCTATTAAAGACGCAGACCTGAACTAAGAAACGTGCATTTGTGTTCCGGCCTGTGGCACCACACACCTCCCCAGCCAGAGAAGCTGCTGACTGCAAGTCGAGGGAAAGCACATAGGGAGCTGCACTGCCAAAACAAAATCGGCTTAAAAACCGGTGCAAGATACACAGATGCAGCTTCGTCACTGTATATGAGGTCTTAGTAACGAAGCAAGATCGCTAACACAACACAGTCACTACTAAATGACTACACGGGAAAAGGTTGCTAATTGAAAATAGGCAATTAAGTGGTGAGGCACGCACTGCCACAGAGCAAGGAGAGGAGGAAAAGGGGAGCTGCAAGAGGAACCGCGCGTGTCCCGAACCACCCCGGGGACACGAGGGAAGAGGCTGAGCCATAATGCGGGCAGACAGGGCAACTGTGTGGCAGCGCAGGCTGTACTTGTAAGAGGGATTCTAGGTCACGTCCCTGACCCCACAGCATCAGGTCCTTGCAATTTCCTAAAAGGCGCATAGCTGGCCTCATCCCAGGGACTGGAGTTATTAATCTGTATTTTGTCGAACCAAAACCTGAGCTACACCCTGAAGTAAATAATAATAATAATAACCATAATAACAAACTCAAGGTGTAACTTATCTGACATCACTTAAACGCACACTAAAGTAGTGGATTAGCTCTACTTCGCTAGAAATGAAGTTCATCCGCTCTCCAAAGCAACGTCGACAATCCTTAACTTCAAAATCAGAAACGAGTGACTTCATTGCCCCGCTGGCTGTCTCTAGACCCAGTAACATGACAATATTCTCTCCCGGTCTTTCCTTCTTGGTTGTGGCAGGGAGTCCGTGTGCACTCATGCACGCGTCTCCCGCGTCCGTTTGGGCACGAGTTTAGCCAGGAGATTTCCCTGCTGACCGAAATCCTCAGGGATGTGCCACAGAAGTCTTCAGACTCCAAAGATAAGCTGAGTGCAGTTGGACTTAAACACCAATACGCAATGAGCTTCTGCTACCAAACTTCCCCAAAAGTTTACAGTTAAGGATCTTGAACAGAACAGATACGTCCTTAGGCACGCTCGTAGGTCGAGAGCAAAGCATTAACTTCAGGAATGATTTCGTAAGGTTTTACCAACACCAGATGCTAGATGAGGTCTCGTTCGTGTATAATCCAAAATACTAACTCCTGTTCTAACCTGTCCACCAGCCACCAATGGATCGTCCATATGGGACATAAGAGCTATGGCTAATAGTAACTGGGCAAACATCACCTGGAGCCACAATTACTCTGCAGGAACTGACTTTGTGGTTAAGTATATCACCAGTAAGCATCAGATCGCGTGGGGACTCTATAGGGTGGTGATGCCATTAGAGATCCTGCCAGCTCCCACGGTTGCAACCTATTACTCGGTCTTAATTACTGTGTGTGGAATGATGCTCTATGGCCACGCGGAGGGTGGGGGAGGAGGAAAAGGCAGGTCGTGGTCATGGCTGTTTAGAGTGCACCGGAGCTAATCCTGGTGATTCACAAGTGATTCCCCCTCCTTGCACCGGCTGTCGCGAGATGTTTGTGAAACATAGATGATGAGCAAGGCTGTCCATTTGTGAACCGTTCATTGAGCTGGGCTGTATGTGGTCACAACGTACAGAGCCTTATATATCTATATATGAAAGGGGACAAAACTTTAAGGGAAAACGAATGAAACCTACAGAAATTGGAGAGTGGTTTTAAATGCCTTTGAAGACGGGCTTCTCGAACCTGGAGTTGGCAGAATCATCTATGATCCCAAACCTCCTGTCGTATCAGATATCACTGTCTCTTAAAATTGTAAGGCTACGTACTTAGTCTGGGAACTCAAAGCCAGTATCTCGCGTTTTAGTACTTGTTTAGAAAAGATGTTTACATGTTGTTGGTTGGTTGGGTTTTTTTTTATAGATAGGCAGTGATGACTACTGCTTATCTCCGACTTTATTTCCCAGCCATTTCAGCCCTCACATCATCTGGTATGCTGGTCTTATATCGGCATTTAAAATAAACCAACTAGGCGTAATCATTAACAGCAAACCACTTTTGGTTATTTACAACATTGTTTAAGAGAGAACCTTGCTTTCTCCTTGAAACAATTTCTAACGCGCAGCCTGGTCTCGCTCCGCAGCCTGCAGGGCTTCGTTAGGCAGCGTGGGCTGTGCTGTGCTCAGCCTTCCCCCTTCTGAACTGGTTTCCATAATTCAGGATACACATCAGCTTTCCAAGCCCTAAATGCCAAGTAGCCCAGCTCCCAAACCACCTGCCGCCAGCCCTGTTTTTTTCCCCCATCACCGGGAAGGACGAAGCGCAGGCGATGCCCTTCCAGAGCCCACGTGCTGAGTCTGCGCTCGGGATGGGCTGCAGCAGCAGCAATGCCTTGGGACACCCTCATCAGGACCTGGCCAAGGGGGAGGAAATCTCAGAGATTTCAGCCCTCTCCTCCCTTTCTGGTGGCATTTGAAGCAAGCAGCATGCTTTTGGCCTCAAAGCCACATTTCTCCTTCCCCACAGCACTCCATGAACTCAGAGGCGCACACCTCCGGAGCCACAAACCAAAGCCCCGCTGCAGGCTTTCTTAGAATTCAGTGGTTTAATGCTCAGCATTAAGCTCATCACCAAACGATTCCCGGCACAGTGCAAAGAACAGATCATCCTTGGACAGAGCCTGGGAGCAATCAACCCGCAAGCATCCCTCCTTGAGCTGAAGGACTAGACCCTTCTCGCCCCCAAAAGCAGCAATCTGCCAGCTGGGGCGAGCAGTCTTGCAGCACATGTAACGCAACGTCCAGCTCATTCAAAGCCTCCTTAACCTACCAGCAAAACTGGTGCACAGATAACACTCCCAAAAGCACAAGATTTGGCTCCTTTACCGAGTCCTGTAGCACCTTCACCCAGCTGAGCGGGACCAGGCAAATTCCAGACCTTTTGCGGAAAAACACCCAAATATCCAAACCTGAGGCTGGGCAGATAAAGGACCTATCGGGTCTTAAAAGAAGGAAGAGATCTGAATAGCTACCGGTATTTTTTTCCAGTACGGCAAGCAGGGATGTAGCAAAACCCACACCATATTCCTGCATCACTGATTTTCTTCTATTCTCAGTGAGTAATAATCACGAAGCCATTAATAGCTCCTTGACCATCAAGCGGTATTATTTCTGCTCAGCGGCTAGGGATAGTATAATGCATTGCCTGCAGTGTCAACACAGTAATCTCTCCGAGCCTCCTGCGGCTGGGTTTGATGTGCGGTTTCTGTTTCTCAGGTAACAAGACAGAGAAATCTATCCCTGTTAAAGCTCAGACCCCTTCCTCTGTGCAGCTGGCGAATCTGACGCCGGGAATGATGTACAAGCTGTGGGTGTTCCCCATATGGTCTAGCCCCAGCGAACACTCGTACATAACCTTTACCACCAGCTCAGGTGAGACGGGCTTCAGCCCTGCCGCGGGGTGCGTTTCCAAAGCATGTCACATCCATCACCGCCGACGTCATTCGCGTGGTGGCGGGAGGTGGTTTGACCATGACTGCATGGAACAACCCTCATCCACCCCCCCCGCCCCCGGCAGCCCCCGCATCTCTGCCCTTATTAAAGAGCCGCCCCCAGCATCGCCGGGAGGTCGCTCCGCATTGCACGGAGAAGGAGACCCCCAGGAGGGGATGGGGAGCCCTTTGAAGGAAAGGGTCTTTAAGGAGGGTAGAGAACACGCTTATGATGTCACGCGGCTCTGCTTAAAGCCCTGCCACCGTGTGTTTGCACTTTTCACACGCGCGTCGCTACTCGTGGCGGTTGCTTTGGTCCTGGAGAGCGTGCACGCATCTGGCTCCAGGTTACGGCGCAGTTACGGGAGCAGAGGGGCAATTGGAGAGAGAGTGGTGACGGGATGCAGGCGAGGGGCAGGACTGGGAGGAGGTGGAACACGGTGTTTGCAGAAGACCTCGGGTCAGAGTCACGCGTGGCACGCGCATAGGGCTTTTCATCCTCCAGGTACGCTTCCTCTGGCAACTTCCCATTTAATTGCACAAGCAATTTTCCAAGTTTAGCACCTGAGTGATTTTTACAGCTTTCTAATTATGGGCTTCCTACACTGCCCACCAAATGCCAGAGAAATACCCTTATTGACTTCCACAGGCATTGAATTGGGCTTTACGCTTTTATGAAACTTCACCGTTCACACTCAATGAGTTTCAGTAAATCAAAACAGCCGTAACTTCCCTTGTATTCACCTGGGGGTTTTGCCATAGGAATCTGTGCACAACGCCTGTCAAAGCGCGGTCTAAACACTTAGCTGAAAAACCAAGGAGCAAGCAACACTGGAGCAGCCCACACTGACAGATGTAATAGGTAGAGGCTGTGATTTTCAAAGAACTAAAATTATTTTGCTCAGATCCAGCCATGTAATGGAAAGCACTTACCAGTCTCTTCGCTGAGGAGTGCAAAAGGAAAATGTAATTCACAGCAAGGGAGTGCTGCAGGGGGAGGTGGGGAGCAGCAGCTCTCCCCACACCCCCTGTGCACATCGTATTTGGTGTCCAAAAATTTGGCAAGCCGTAATGCCGCCGAGTAATTCTCTGACGTGCTAAGATGACATAGGGACAGATGGCAACTGCTAGTATTTCTGCATGTCTAATGCTGCCCAACACTGAGAAATAAGCAGCGAGCGCTGACCTTGGCTCTGTCCTGCCTCTGCCCCGCGCTGAGGTCTGATGTGCCTCCTCAGGCTGCTCTGCCGCCCTGTGATGTGGTCAAAGCCACAGCACAGCAGCCCCTGGAACACGCGCGGCTTTGCAGGGGGTCATGTTTTCAGAAAGGATTTATTTTCACTGGGGTTTTTCCCCCATCGCTCCGCTGCTGTACGTGTCACGCGGCGCGGCTGCCTCGCCTCGGGAGTTTTCACAGCTTTGCTTTGGCAGGACTCGGCTCGCAGACACGCAAACTGTCTGCAGGGTTCGACTCCCTGGGCTCCCAGCCTGTTCCTACATTGCAGAGGCTGATTCTGACCCCAGACAAGTAAAAGAGCCGATTTTCAACTCAGAGGGTGGTCAGACTCTCTCCAGGACAGCTCCGGCTGCAATGTTGCACCCCCAATTTTGCTTCTGGACCCCTCCCCTGTCTCAGAAATCACCACCAGCTCGACAGGCCCCCAAATCCATCTCATGCAACGTGCCGCTCCGGACACTATTTCCCAACTATTCCTAACTGTTTCCCAATCCGGACCCGTCTCTTTTCTTTTCTCGCCTGCTTTCACCCACTTGGGGATCTAAGGGGAGCGGGGGCAGCCCCCTGCACAACGGACACCAAAGGGCAGGAATCATTAGAAAGGAAGAGAAAAGAAATTAATATCCTTGGCTGATTGATGCTGGCAGTCGCGGCATATCTATTTTCTGTAATTGAGGGGTTCCTACTGATATTGTCATTGAGACTAAAGGATGGGGCCACCTTTGTCCCTGTGATAGAGGCCGAGTGGTGACCTGAGCCCTCTCACTGTGGGATGCACAGAGCTATCGCCGTCCCTGCATGCAGAAATGCTGCAGATCTATTTCTTTGCTGGCTGGATACTGCTGACACGAGTGTTCAGCCCCCGCTGACAATCATATGCCATGAGGAATGCTTTTGACAAAAAAGCACTGTTCGGTTTTTTGTGGGTTTTGTGTTTTAATGTTTTGCAAATAGTTATTCTAAAGGCTTCTTCAGTTTGAGGGGAGGTAAATACGTAGTCCACCTGCACTGTGGCTGCAGGATACTGCCCTGACTTTGCTTCTGATTAACCGACAGCTCAATAACCCAACAGAGTTGCTTCCAGTAGTAAAGGACACTTCAAAACTACAAACGGCTTAATATAAAGAGGTCTTCTAAATTTAGAAAAAAATAATAATAAAAAAAGTTCCACAGCCTGTACAAACACTGGGAAGAGGATCATGCAAAGGCTGGAGCTAGTGAGACTTTACATACCCAATGGTCTGCTTTACAAAGACAGACAAAAATTTTGCTGATCTTCTGTTGGTGGAACACAGCCAGCTTTGCTACTGGCATATAAACTATGACTGTTCGGTAACATGTTTTCTGCCACAGAATTATAATTAATTTAAAAAAAAAAAGTCACTGCAGTTGCATTTCAAATCAATAGCTGTTCGATTACACAGCTGCTTTCCACTATTTCCCCTTGGTGTTGGCCTTACATTAAAGCAAATCAAAACATCCTCTCTGACAGCCATGTACTTAATCTTCTCTTTCTGAATGCTGCAATGACAGTCACTCGTTTACTCTAAATACAAGATTGCTGTGGCTATAATTTTGTTGTCACGTGTTGCTTTTTTGGGAAGGATGGCAATTATACCTCCACCTTGGTGATAGGCAGTGCCACAATTCTACTGCAAGATCCCCTGGTGACTTGGTACTCAAAATCCTCCCTCCCTGTAAAACTCAGCCCCAACCCACATGGGTGGTGTGAAACCCACCTCTCAGGCTGCTTTTGCATTTCGTACTTTGAAGACCCCCTTATTTCTCCCCTAGCGCTGGTTTCTGTAGAAATCCCATCCCATCAGGACTGCTAATACAATCTTTTTCCATTTCAAAGCTCTCCAGTAAAGCTTCCTTCCCCTTTCCTCCCCAAGCACTCAACTAATTGAATCCGGTTCTCAGCTCCACTCCGTTATAATCTCATTCTCTCCATCATAAAAAGTGCATCTTCAAAGACTATGTAGCTCAGGTTGCACTGAAGGTAAATATTAAATGTGGCAGCGTTAGAGGGAAAAGCAGCAAAAGGGAGCCAAGGCACCATTAGGCAGCTACTTCCACCCGGCTTCCCCGGGAGCCCGGTGCTGCTCACAAACATAGAGCGTTCAGCATCCGACATAACTTCTTAGCAAATGGTACTCTTTCTCGTCGTTCCCCTCTTTTATCTGCGAATTTCCTTGTCACAGTTTGGCTGCACTTATCTGCTGACAACGTGGCTTAGATTTCATCCTAAGGAAAGCAACTCTTCTCTTGGGTTCAATTTTGATGGAATAAGTACGCGCTTACAACCCTAAAATGGTGTGGGTCAGCAAAGTTTGCCAATTCCACCCATTTTTGAAGTTGTTGCCTCTTTTACGTGGGCCTTTCATTCAGCATACATTAACAGAGGGTTATCTTTTATGCTTTCTTTATAAGCACCATCTTGTTTTTTGTCACATGGGCACCACAAAAGGATGCTCGCTGCACAGTCCTGCCCGTTTCAGGCAAACGCCCGCTAAATCCCAACTCAATCCCATCCAGCTCAGATCTCCCACGTTCCTGCCAGGAATACCTATCTCTGTTTGCACTGCAGTCTGGTTAAATTTAGCCCCCCTGCTGCGCTGAAGGTTATTTTCTCCTCTGCTCTGTCTTGCTGAATACGAAGTGCATGTCAATGAGAGCCAGAAAATGGCAGCTCGTTGCTATTTATAGGACACAGATTTGTCTGTCTGACCGTGTATGGGAGCTGCAAACAAGAAGGCAGAGTACGTGAGGGAGGACACGGCAGTTAGGAGCCGGAGCATCGTCTGGGGAACAAGAATCCTCCTTGCTTGATATTAATCATATTAATATTCAAAAGCCTTGTGAGGGCGCTGGAAGCAGTGGTATAAAAGAGTTTTCCCCAGAAGAAAAGACTTTCCAGTGCTGTCAGACCACCTCTCAACTACCTGGGACCCAGCTGTCACTCCTCGAAGAGCTGTTCCCACCGCTGTGTCCCCTCTCGCGCATTGGCCAAGGCTTGGTGGGCTTCCACAAGTCCCCTCTCAGCCCTGGAGACCCCCCGCGGCCACCCAAAGGCAGCAGGAACCTTGGCGGTGGCGGCAGCAGAGCCACTGCCCATCGCCTCTGCAGCTTGGGCAAGGCTGCCCCGCAGGATTCAGGTTTCTCCCAGCTCGAGGCTGCTAATGAGCCCTTCAGGGCTCAGCAACCCTCTGGATCCAGTGGTGCTGCTCAGCCTCGCCAGACACCAGGGACTGGACCCGCTTGGGCGTGTTTCTTTCAGACCTTCTCGCTTCCAGGGCAGTTTTCAGACAGAGTAAATGAAAGATCAAATCTGTTACCCAGCTTCTTTTGCCATTATTTGCGATGTACCTTTCTCACTGGTCTGTGCTAGGTTTTACTTTATGTTGTGACCCTTCGCTGTTTGTAGCTCCTGCTAAAACGTTGAGTTGACTCACCACCACAAAAGAAAAAGAAACAAAAAAAGCCACAGATCCCTGTGCTATAATCTCAGATAACCCGGTCAATACACACACAGACACACAAATGCAGCGCTAAAGATAATTTCTAAACCGGTGGACTGTGTCTCACTATTCATCTGTTTCCCTCTGTGGTTCTGGTCTGTCCCTTACAGCTTTTTTTGTCTTTCGATTTTCCTCCCAGCATACACCAAGAATCACGTGGACATCGCAACGCAGGGCTGGTTCATCGGGCTGATGTGTGCCATAGCTCTCCTGGTCCTTATTCTGTTGATCGTCTGCTTCATTAAGAGGAGCAGAGGCGGGAAATATCCAGGTAAGAGCGCTGCATGGCAATCGTTTGTGCTCATGGTTTAAACATCTCCAGGCTTCTGGGGGCTAATCAAATTGTATTGCTCTCAGATAGATGCTTGTGATTACAAGGGCTTTTCTTTCTCTGTAGTGGGAACACTATTATTAGTGGGAAGCATTTCAGTTAATTAAAGGTCGGGTGAGGGCTCTGTGCTGCGCAGGCTTTAGGCTGCGGAGCTAAACACTCCTGCTATGCATGACCCAGCCTCTACTCTGCAAATTTGTTTGTCCTCATCTAGAAAAAGATCTTTTCAGGCAAAAATCTCATTAAATTTTTGCAAAGCAAAGATAAGGCTTAAGAAAATTTACCAATTAATGCATCCTCTCTCGCTATCTGGAGGGCCTGTGCCCTGGTGCCGCCACAGCAGCACCCTGTGCGAGCCCTTTGCCAGCCCTCCCAGGTGCAGGTTTTTTACCGAGTCAATGAAAAGCTGTACTTCACCGCACAGGGATTTCACAGAGGCAGCCTCAATGCTAGCTGCTGTTACTGTCTCATAAAGCTTTTATCTTCTGTACTGCTTTTTAACGTGAATGTTGGGGATGTGCTTATTTACAGTACGAGACAATAAAGATGAGCATCTAAATCCCGAAGACAAGAACGTAGAAGATGGGTCGTTTGACTACAGGTATGCTTCCATTGGCATGTGTACCCACGCGACCACGTCTCCCCATCAGCCCCACTCCCAGCCATCACAGACCTCACCGCGCTACCCCTCCACATAACCACAGCACTGCGGTGCCACACAGCCTCTTAAATTATTTCTCCCACCTTCCTCCTCCTGCCTCCTTCCCTCTGCAAGTCCTCTACCAAAGGAAACATTTCCCCCCTAAAACCCTGGAAGAGTAACCAGGCTGCGAGGATGCTGCTAAGGTCTCCTCCTTTCCCTGTCTCAGCCTGGGAGGATCAGTCCAGGCAGAGAGCTGGGACTCTGGCATCAGCTACCCGGGACACAGCTCTCCCCAGGTGCAGATCAACCTTCATGGCACTCCTCGCACATATTTAAAAAAAAAAAAAAAAAAAAATTAAACTCTGAAGCAGCCTGAGGATATTTCAGGTATATCACCCTGTAGCTCAGCCTCTCTCCTACCCATAAGAGAGTATCCAGGGGAGAAATGCCCAAAGTTGTGTTTGGATCAGCCCCGAAAGCGTGCAGGAGTACTGATCTGGGTGTCTGCCTGCATTCCAGTCCAGGCTTTTCTGTAAGGTCCCCAGGCAAACCCTACAGAAACACCCTTTGAGGGCTGCAGCACAGCCTCGCAGCGGTTCTGCTAAAACCACTCCGATTTCCCCCCCGATTTCACCTCCACTCAGCTGCTTTCACACAAAACGGCATCCTTTGAAGAGCAGCAGCACCCATTTTTACTCCAGGAAAACTCCCAGGCTATTTCAGAAAGGGGCAAGCGCTCTCCCAAGCCTGCTCACGTGCAATGCAGCGTTCACGGCTCTGCTGCTGTTAACGGTTGCCCCCGAGGTGCCGGAGCAGGTAACAATGTCAGGTCTCATTGGATTGCCCACACTTGACAGAGGACAGGGATGTACCAGCTTGCCCTTTGAGCACCTACAGTGGATTTTGCTTTTCTTTAAAGAATTAAAATGCACCTTTCCCATCTGAGCTGGATCCAAAGCCCAATTAGGCTAGCAGGAATTTTTCTCCTGACTTCAAAACAGGGGTTAACTAAACCCCATGTCACTACCGATACTCCTAGCATTACAAACCGAGGTAGCAAAGATAGGAAGAATTTATTTATGCTTCAGTAAGGGATGTAACAAGAAACACGTGTTCCGCCAAAGACTTTAGAGGAAGCAAGATGAATATATCTGCCTGCACACAATACATAACTGGAAGTAGAACAACTGCAGCCCTCAACACGATCACATTTATGTTGTTAGTAGCACGGTAACTCTATTTCAGTAGCGACTCTTTTTCTCCAAAGGATGTTGTAAGCCCAAAGCTCCCCAGTCTTCTGATAGCACGATACAGAATACAAATACACTCCAGCAGGAACCAGAATAAGCGGCATGTTGTAGGAAAAGGTCGCCGCTCTTTATTGCCCTAAACAACACCCGGAGGGGGCAACACCTTCCTCACCTCCCCGCGAGATTTGGTTATCACTTCTAGTGGTGGCAAGCCACACCAGGGCAATTACATCAAGTCCACATATAAAACGGAGTCTGGGGATGTTCCCTTCGGATTCCTGGCCGTGACACAGAGAACAGCAGAGAAAAAATTAGCTCAGCCTGGTCCTGTCACAGGCTTTGCCCCGGATCAAATGCATCTCTTCCCAGGCATGATTTTACAAGTGCAGGCAGTACTCCTTGTACAGATATGAGCCATAAACATAACTGCATACTACACAGCTGGTGTCCATACTTTGACCAAAACAAGCCCTCTTAATGCTCTGAGTCACGACAGGGATCCTCTTGGTTCCCAAATTTGTGGGATGGTGTAAATACCATGTAGCAAGCCTGAAACATCTCATCGCCCAGGAGCTACCCACACACAACCCTACAGGCTCAGCTCCATCACCTGGATCTCAGACAAGGTCTCCACAGCCGAGCTTCTGGCAGTACGCGCTGATTTCAGAGATCTGCTTCTCAAGAGTCCGTTGAGGTGGTTACAATCAAGACCTCCTCACCCCCGTCACTCCTAAGGCAATTGCATTGCCAGGGACCGTTTGCCTTGCGTAGAAGGAAAACCGAGCTCTTGGCATGGCTGGCAGCATTGCGACAGTCGGCAATGCTGCATTTACTGCCCAAGCACCATCCAAGGGACATTGCCTTCCAGGCAATGGGAAGGAATGGGGTAAATCCTTCATCCTACTACACAGCAGCTTCTGCTTAGCTGAAGCTCAAACTTTTATTGACAGCCCCATTCCCAAGAGGTTGCAAGCTAAAGGCAGAGGTCGGTAGAAGGGCAACAACCAAGCTCCAAGATGCTCCCCCATTTTCAGTCACACTGTCCCATGGACTAGATGGGGAAAAACCCCAATCAGACAAGAACAACAACAAAAAAAAACCCCAACAACGCATAAACTTTGCCCCCTCCTTCTCAGCAACAACAGGTTTCCTGGGAGAAGTAATAGGAGGCTTCCCTCAAGGAGGCAGAAAGGAAGGTGAACCTGAAGGATTGATATGAAACACTGTTGGCTGATTAAGATGCAAAATGATTGCGATGTTAGGCTCAGGGAGGGTAGCAATTAGTATTTCAAGCAAGGACAGGAATTGAGCTGACGTTGAGTTCTTCATTGGTTTCCCTCCCCACCTCCACATAGCATGTCTGATATGCTCTCATCATATCTCACATCCTTAATGCCCTGTGCATGCAACTTTCAAATCTCTGCAGCCTATAATTAAGAGATACTGTCACATCTTTCTGTTCCACTAACAGAATAATGGTTTTCCTGAGCAGAGGCTAAGCTGAGAAGCTTATTTTCAAAGCAGGAGACCATTATCCTTGGACAATGTTCTGTGCCAGTGACTGTGCCTCATTATACCAAATGTTTAAGCTGCACGTGGGGGAGTCGGCTGGAAACCCTGGCCGCTGGGAAGGGGAAGTTGAGTGGGTTTAGCTTCTGGGTTCCAGTTCAAGTTCAGGATAGTGTCCTGCGGCACAGGTTACACGCTGCAGGCAGTGCCGGCTTGCCCCAAATGTACCATCTCAGCAGACATCAAGACAGGAGGACACAGTGCCGTCCTCTGAGCCTAGCGAGGGGAGGAGAGGTCTGGCGAAGCAGCCTGGGGAGGTGTAGGCTTGTCAACAGATACCGTGATACTGGTGCATGACTCGTGGAAACCCAGCAGAAGCCTGAAGGGGAAACCGAGCGACCCCGTTCACTTGGCCCTTGTCCTGCTGCATGTCGGTCCCCAGCAGCGACCGCTGTTCCCTACAGCCGCTCGCTAATGAACTTCAACCACAAGCCCTTTCTGAACAGCCTGACGGCAAACAGCCCGCTTCCCACCTGCGCCATCCGCTGCTGCTCTGTATTAGCTTTCTCGGGGAAGCCAATGAGGCTCATCCAGCTCTGAACAATTATACTGGCTCCATTTGGTATAACGAGGCAATTAGCTCCATGAGGAATGCAGACGTTTCTTTTCGGTTTTTAGCACTGCCCCTGTAAATGCAGACCTCATCATATCTCTCTCTGATCAGGCTCTTTCTGCTTCTCTCTGTTTTATTCCCATTCTTTCTTCTCCTTTTCACCTGGTCTATCCACATGGACCATGAAGGTCTCTTGAAAGGTAGGACCACGTGCTGCCAGAAGTCCGGCACATTTAGCTTTTTTTATTTTCCTTCCTTCTAGCTATTTATTTCTTTATAGCTGAAACTATACCTTCCCCTCCCTATTCCCATGCACCTGCCTCCACCTAACACATTAAACAAGATCCCTCTAACTCCTGCTGGCATCAGGGGTACCCCCACGTCCAGCCAGTTGCATCTTGCTTGGAAATGCTCTGTGGGCTGGGGACACCCCCGAGCGCCAGCCAGGCCCCCCCAGCCCCACGCTCGAGGAGCTGATCCCTCCTGGTGTAGCGGGACCAGCCAAGGGTTGGACCTGGGGGCGATGCCCTCGGCGCATTCAGCGCCCTGATGCCGGACACCCAGGGGACGGTGGCAAGGGACACGAGAAAAAAAAAACCACTACATCTTAAACAATCTGCCCACTCTGTCTCAGCCCTGAAAATCCACCCTCTGGCTCAAGCCTCCCCCTCTTCTCAATGATTTATGCAACTCAGGACAACGTTTCCCAAATGGTTTTCATCTGGGTGCTCTGGTTCTCTAATGCACACATCAGCAAACCCCACAGAAATCCATTTTAACAGGGTTATATGGCATCAAGATGCTGATGAGTATCTGCTTCGCCCTCCTAATGCACTAACAGGATAAATTGTGCTGGAGAGAGGTAAAACCAGGGGGCAGGTTCGGGAAACGCATTGTCGGGGTGTTCGGTGCTGCAAACCCCCCATTAGGGAAAATCTGGCTCTAGATTCAGCCTTAACTGAACCCCAAACCTTGGGAAAGGATATTGCAAATAAAGGGATCTGGGTTTTGCCACTCTCTACTTGGCATTTATTGGGCTTTCTAACTGGCAGTCCTGCTTGCAGACTGAATTCTCTTCCTCCAGAAAGAAGCTGCTTTCAAAGCTAACAAGTTATTTTTTATTGTGATGCCAAGTTAACACAAGGCCTCAAATATTGGTTTTGTATTATCGCTTAATTCACAAAGCGCTGATATAAGGAAATACATTAGAAAGCTGGTGTTGTACTGTGGGATACCAAATTCCTCTCCCACTGTAGGGAGCTGATGCCTTTAATTACATGGCATGAAAGAGATGTAATGCCTTCCCCAGCTGAAGAGCATTTTGCTCCCTGGCCCAAGCAAAGTGTTTCTCCTGCCTTCGCGAGAGGCAAACACCTTCGTGTGGACACCGACTATCAAGGGCTGCAACCAAAGCCCAGTACTTTTACCCATTTTAAGAAAGATAAAGAACAGAGTAGAGTGCCATGCTGGGGAGTGAGTCTGATGAGTCCCAAGCTAAAACAACAACAACAAAAAGACAGGAATGGAGGTGGGAGGACAAATGTTTAAGGTACATATGCAATACCATAAGGAATATTACAGAATTTGCATGCTAGACGTAAGATCAAACGTGAACTAAGGACTAGTTGATATGAAAATTAATTTTTCTATATACCAATCCACTCTCATCCTCCATGCAATGTTATCCGTATTTACGAGATACCAGTCCTTGCCCTCCTGAGAGAAAAAAGCTTTTCCCTGTTTTTTTGTTAAAAGGGTTTCTTTAAAGGGTTGGTTTTTTCCTGTGTGTCAGACTTTTTTTTTCTTTTTTAAGTGACCTGGCTTAATCTTTCTAGTGAAAAAGAGAAAAGGATAAAGAATTGAGCAAACAAGCTCAGATGCTCAGAAATAAGCTTGGAAAGGTAAATTCCCACGAGTTTTGGAAGATGCACAGAACTTGGCATCCTATACATGCCCCCTCGCAGTGCTTTGAGAGTGCTCCCCGTTGCATGTAGCTATCTAAACAGCCGAGCGTGTTTTTTGCAAGGAAATCTGGAAACAAACCTCACTAAACCAGGTTACACCAAGGTTGGCTAAAATGCTGAGAGAAAGAAAGAATATAAGCAATGACAAGGAAAGGATATTTATAACGTACATCCAGTTGGACTGATCTAAGCATCGTATGTAATACAGGCTAAAAAAAATTGCTTTCTAAAAAGAAAAAGCATGAAGGTCGGGCTTGCAGAAATAACCAACCACAGCACCAATTGCACCGGCAGCTGTGGGCCTCCTCCGCGGAGGCTGTCTCCCCACCTTCACGTACGTGTCAGACACATCGTGACTTGCTGTCTGCAGTCAGAGCACCCCGCGTTTGTGGTCTCTGGTCAGTATATTTGCACACTGGATTTATTTTTGAATATCCAGACCTTGGGTGGAGGTTGTAAGGCCCATTCTCAACCCTTACTGTGTCTGTCTTGTCTTCTGCTACCCAGCGACGAAGACAACAAACCCCTGCCAAACAGCCAGACCTCCTTGGACGGCACGATAAAGCAGCAGGAGAGTGACGATAGCTTGGTGGACTATGGAGAGGGGGGCGAAGGGCAGTTTAACGAGGACGGCTCCTTTATCGGCCAGTACACGGTGAAGAAGGACAAAGAGGAGACCGAAGGCAACGAGAGCTCGGAAGCCACCTCCCCAGTCAATGCTATCTACTCGTTGGCATAGCGCAATGCACTGAAACCACAAACAGCCTGAGGTGTTTGTAGTGGATGGGGGTTAAACAACAGCCGCCGCCGCCACTACCTCCAACAGAAACGTGTGAATGAAACCAACCAACAATGACAAAAAAAAAAACAAAATGACAAAAAAAAAAACAAAAAAAGAAAAAAAAAAAAGAAAAAAAAAAAAAAAAAGAAAAAAAAAAAAGAAAAAAAAAAAAAAAAGAAAAAAAAAAAAAAAAAGAAAAAAAAAAAAAAAGAAAAAAAAAAAAAAAAGAAAAAAAAAAAAAAAGAAAAAAAAAAAAGAAAAAAAAAAAAAAAAAAGAAAAAAAAAAAAAAAAAAGAAAAAAAAAAAAAAAAGAAAAAAAAAAAAAAAAAAGAAAAAAAAAAAAGAAAAAAAAAAAAAAAGAAAAAAAAAAAAAAAAAAGAGTTTTGGGAAGGAAAGAGGGGTGAGGGGGGCCTGGGCAGAGTAGCAAGAGCAACAGAAATGCATGAAAGGAGGAAAGTGGTGGATCTTTGGGTAATGACACCACGGCACTGTATTACTGAGACGTCCATCCTCACGGCAGCATCTTGTAGCCTCTCCCAAAGTAGTCAGCGCCACAACCTCCTTCCTGAAAGATCAAGCAGCACCTATGCAGGAAAGAGCAGGTCCCTTACGGCTTCCCTTGACACCGTAACCCGCATTGGTGCTGAGGCTCTGCGGTCTGTCCCCCCTGCAAAGCCCAAGGGGAGGTCACCCGCCACCCCCACGGGGCTCCGGAGCATCCTCAGAGGACAAGAGGTTGCAGAAGAGCTTGTGGGATTCATGGAAGGACAGTCAGGTGCTGCCCACCCTCCGAGCCCAGGATAACAGCATTGCTTGCCTGGGTAATCGCAGGCAAACCATTTTGGTTTAGTCTTTGCTTTGCAAGAATTTGGGGGGAAACTGCCCCCAGACCATGCCTGCTTTCTTTTAAAGGCAACTCCATAAATCTTATGTAGCAAAGAGGGAGCGGAAGCAGGACCAGTATTAACATAGGATGAGGGGACCAGAAATCACTTATTTTTAAAAATCAAAGCCACCCGGCCAGGATGAGAAGCACCGCCCAGGATCGGGTGGGGGATCCCCTGCTGCTGACCTGCACCGCAGCTCCCGATCAGCAGCGTGAACCGTTCAGGGACGCGCGTCCCTCGGGAGACAGGGAGGAAGGCACACGGCAGGAGCGCAGGACCCGAGGTCCACATCTTCCCCAGGCACTGGGGATGAGCCAGATCGACAGTGTTTTCCACTAAACTCTCCTCCTCATTTCTGACAGTGGCCTTTCCCCCCCCCCTCCATCAATCAGCCTGAGCGAGACCTTTCCACGAGCGAGCGCCTGCACCCTGGGACTCCCCTCCGCTATCTTATTTACATATCAAGACAACACGCGATTTAAGTTAACCCGTTAACACACTGTAACAAAGCGTCTCGGATAGAAGTGCTCCTTCACATGCCTTACACAGCTTCGAACTTCCCATGAAGTTTAATAAACTGATACTATTCCCCCACCGCTTCCGCACCCCTAACGCGATGGTCTTCGATCCGCCAGACCAGTAGGAGTAGGATGCCTGGGCAGCTCTCCCAGCTGAGACAGCATGGATCATTGTAGAAGGTAGAGTTTTATAATAGACAGTACTTAGTGGCCAACGCCATGTGTATTCTCCCACTTCCTGCACTTTTGAAACCAAAGGTACCTTCGCTGAAAGAGATCAGGTTTCTTCGGAACGTTTCACAGACGGCGAATGATGTTAGGATGGATTTTTCTTTCAGTTCTTTTTCTAAGGAGGACGTTTTTGTTCAGCATAATGGATTAAATGCAATAGGATTAATGCAATTATTCTTTTAGCTTTCAAGCTGGTTTGCTATGAAGACATATTGCTAACAAGAATACTTCTACTAATATGGATTGTTGAGATGGACTTTGCCACATTCTTTAAGCTGCTAATGGCACAACTATCCTGCGCTTCGGGGAAGAGCCCGGACCCGGTCAGCACCCACGCAGCACCTACTGCTGGAGCACACAGAGAAAACAGAGCTGGATGCAAACCAAACAGCAAAGGAGTTACATGCACCATACCAGCCAAGGAGGGTTTAGGCTGGTGTTAACAGGCAGAGCCCCCTCCCAGAGCTGGGGGACCTCCTGCCACCCCAGGGCAGCACAGGAACCCCTCTGCCAGGGTCCTCCATCCCTGTCATCTTACAGAGTAGGAGCCACACGTCTTGCTCTGTTACCGGCAGTGTAAACGCGTTCATGCAACGAGCCTATTTCTACTGCTGCCACTCGTCACTGATCCGGTTTAAGGAGAGCATCTCCCAGCCCGTTCCCAGGACATGCACCAATTGTATTCGGTTTTTAAGCAAGCGCACCAGGCCAAATGTAACGCAGCCCTTGGGCACGGGGATAATCACTTCCCAAGCCTACGGCTGTCCTTACAATGTTGAGTTTGCGTAACTTCTTGCCCAAGCCCTGGTGGAAATGAGGAGAGAAAGAAACTCTAGCCTCCGCTGTGGAAAAGCCTCTGCCGCCAGAGCTGCGCATCCTCATTCACACCCAGCACACCAGATCCTCGCTGCTTTGTGGACCAACCGCTAACGGGGACCACAAGACCCTTGGCTACCACGCAACACCTCCAAACCTCAAGAAAGTTGGTCAGGCATTACTGGAAGCAGGGCGGTCTGTGTCATGTATCTGTATTACGTGCCATTTATATTAAAGCCTGTATTTCTGTCCTGTCATTAACCACCATTTTACTGAGCAAACCTCTTAGCATCCATTTGGAAATGGAGAAGTGTTTCTCCCTGTACTTTTGCAGCGTGTGTCCCGCAGCGTGCCTTGGCAAGCGGGGAGGGAATTAGCTGGACCCAGCCCAGCTAGTCCTGTCCTAACCCCAAAAAGTCTCACAAAAGCAATTAGAGTCCTACCACCACGTTACTTTAAGTAACCAGAAAAGGAAGGAGATGTCTGCAGAGGGCCCGGTGGACAGACGGCTCGGTGTAAGTTACTTGGAGGCTTGTATTGGCTTGGTGTAAAAATTACTCAATTATTACAAGGTAAAGTTAAAATTTTAACTTTTTTTTTTTTTTTTAAATCCCCCTAGAGTTTTGGAGCCCAAAGAAAATTCTCATTAAGTTCAAAACTCATCATGAGTTTAACATTTTTTACTCCCTTTAATAAAGATTGCGTAGATGTTTGCACGTGCAGTTACTGCGTCACGGGGAGCAAAGCCCTCACTTGCTCCAACCACCAAAACCACCACAGCTCTGACAGGGTGACCCCATGCCGCCCCAAAATGCATTCACCCCCCCAGAAACAGCCGGGGCCAGGCTGCACCCACACCAGCACCGCAGCCACGCTTCTGCTCAGCGAGTGTCCTTGGAGCGCTAGGGGATGGATGGAGACCCCGCACGAGGACCGGTGGTGCTGATGGGTCTTGCCCACGTCTCTGCCTGTTTGGATGCGCGCCGTGCTGGTGGTTGTGTCTGCCTGTCCCCAAGTGTCACCCCGCGGGAGCTGCGTTGCTTCTCCACCCCCAGCTGTCCCTCTCTGGAGGGGACGGGCCAGTCACCTCGGCTCCCACTACCTGCAGCGTAACCCCCAGGATCAGCAGAGAGGCTCGGGGGATCCCTATATCAGCCACCCTCCGCTCGAAGGGCAGGAGCCCTCCTAAGGGGTCGGTCTCCATCACAGGGCCGACCGTCCCTCTCTGGGATCTGCACAGCCTCTCTGGAGCAGGGCACGCTTTCACCTTTTCTTTTGCAGAAGACACATCTTCATAAAGGGTTTAAATTCGGGGCCAACACTTAATAAATAAAGAGATAAAAGAGAAAGAAGAGCCAGACCCAAAATCAAGTGCTCTCAGAAGCTGGGGAAAAAGCAGTTTGGGTCCAACTCCCAACTTGAAAACTTGAGCCTGTTTCAAAAACGGTCTGAGCCAAAACCTAATCCATGTTCCAGAGACGGATCCAGACTCTGCCTGCTGCATCCCAGCCCAGGGACACAGCCTGCCCCCCCCGACACGCAGCCTTTTGCTATTTGAAGCCCTGCACATGTACAACAGCTGATACAAACCACGGGAGCGCAAGCGTGGGATGTGAGAGGACGCTGGCCATGTTTACGTGATCTTGAGGCTGCTCCTATTCTCCCTGAAGTGATGTTGCAGTAAGTGACAGAAAAGCAGCGGGGAAAAATCGAGTTTTGGTAACGAGCCCTGAAATCCCGCTCACAGAAACCCCAACCGTCTGTCCTGTCTGGACACCAGGTCATGACGTCCCCGCAACACATCCCCTGCCAGCATTGCCTTCTCGCAGATGACAGACCCCGAGTCCACGTATTACGGTCACTTCTGACCCAAGAGATGGACCTGTTGAGCAGGAGCCGCAGCTCCCGCCACTGTCACGCCGGGGGAGCGGGACGGGTGCGAGGGCAGAGCCGCGCAGCACCGTCCGTCACCGGAGCCGTGCCCGTTGCTGTGCCTTAGCTGGCACGCAGCACTCGCTCCCATCCATGCCACCGGCCGTCCTGGCAAGTCCTGACACCTCTCCTCGGTGCGCAGGTCCCAGCAGAGCTGCGAGTTCAACCTGCAACGTAACGTCCGTCGTACCAGGCTTAATTGTGTACTAGCAGCAAACCGTTTCAGTTGAGCAATAAACAAACCTTGTTTAAAAGAAAAAAAAAAAGACCACGTTCTATTTCTTGCACTAAGACCTGTTTTATTAATGAGAATAACGATGCTTTTCTGGTCCTAACAAAATAACCCACCGCATCAGTAGCTCCCCCCTTGCCCAGCAGCGCCTGTCTCTCCATGTCCTTCACAAGTGGGCATCGGGCTTTGGTTGTCAAACGCAGTCTAAACCCCGTGTCAAACCCGCAGAACAGACTCCTTCCTTCGCAGTACAGAGTTTTAAATGTTCGTTCCTCCTGCTCACATCAGAAAGAAAGTATTGGACTGTTTTGTTTTTCTTTAATTTGTAAATATATCGCCATCCATCCATCCTCTCTGTAAAACCTCCTGGTTGTTCTAAAGTAT